GCGACGGTCTGGGCACCCCCAAGGAACCGACGAACAGCTCCGAGGAGGAGGACGAGGAGGACAAGGAGGAGGACGAGGAGGACGATGAGGAAGAGGAGGAGGAGGAGGAGGAGGAGGAGGAGGAGGAGGAGGAGATGGAGGAGGGGGAGGAGGAGGAGGAGGAGGAGGAGGAGGAGGAGGGGAGGAGGAGGAGGAGGAGGAGAGGTATGAGGCTGAGGAGGAGAGGAGGGAGGAGGAGGAGGAGGAGGAGGAGGAGGAGGAGCGGAGCAGGAGGAGTGGGAGGAGGAGGAGGAGGACAGGAGGAGAGGAGGAGGAGGAGGAGGAGGAGGAGGAGGAGGAGGCTGGAGCTGCAGCTGGAACTGCAGCTGGAGCTGGAGCTGGAGCTGGAGCTGGAGCTGGAGCTAGAGCTGGAGCTGGAGCTGGAGGAGGAGGAGGAGGAGGAGGAGGAGGAGGCGGAGGAGGAGGAGGAGGAGGAGGAGGAGGGGGAGGAGGAGGGGGCGGAGGAGGAGGAGGAGGAGGAGGAGGAGGAGGAGGAGGAGGAGGATCGCACGCCACTGAGGGGAAAGGGGGGGAAAGAAGTTCGACGGTTCAAAGAACCCAGGGGGGCCATCAGAGTGGAACTTGTTTTGTCACCCTGGCAGGAAGGCCAAAGACTTGCCAGGGGCCAACGACAGGGCCCCCCCATGGGTATCTAACCGCCCATCTTTTCGTCCTCCAGATCGTTGCCTGGGGTCCGTTCCTGCAGCTTGGGCCCCAGTTCAGCCGCCTCGGACTCATTCAGCCCAAACACCTGGAGGACATCTGCAAGGCACAAAATTGCAGAGTGGCCCGCGTCGGGCCTTTAAAAACTGCTTTCTCTCTGCTGGGCTGGCCATCTTGGGCTCCTCCTTCCCCCCAAGAAGCCCTCGTGCCCAAACCCCAGGAGTTCTCCAAGGACCCAGTTTGAGAGATCTACTAGGGTGCTTGCCTTAAAGACAGCCCTCGAGTTCTTCCTGTCATGGGTCCACCAGTGCATGTTGGGAGCCCTCACAGCCTCTCTGCAGGCCCCGAGATCCCACCAGCACCGTGGCGTAGGCCCCACAGGTCGAGCAAAAAAAATGGCGGGTGCCTTTTCGGCAGTTACAGCGAACTCAAGCAAGGCATGCCCGCCTATGAAGGCAGGAGTTTGCTTGGCATCCAAGGCCTGTGCCACGAGTTCGGGCGCCAGGGGCTTTGGAGAAGGTCGCGAGGGCGATGGAGGATCGTGGGGAGGGAAAGCAAGAGCAGCAGCAGTCCATTCCACCCACCCACCCCCCACCTGGCCTCCTCCTAGCCTTTTCCAGCGCCTCCTCAAGTTCCGATCCCCCCTCCAGGGCGATCTTCGTGAGCCCCTGGGCCCCCACATTGTCGCGCTGGCCCACGTCAGCATAGTGGGTCCCTGCCCTGCTGCTTGTATACTGGAGAGCAGGCGCGACATATGGAGCATTTCTTTGGCCATCATGACCACATTGATCGAGCATCTGCAAAGCTCTGCTCCTGCCTTCGCAAGCCTATCAGCTTGCGCGTTGCCCTCCCTCTCGAATCGGCTGAGCTGTCCTCCCCGAACGTCAGCCATGGAGGTGTGGGCCGCTACCCTACGGAAGCCCACCAGCTCAGGCTTCCCTTCCCGAAAAGCCTCATGCCACAGGTGAGCTCTGATGTAGCCAGGCCGCTGCGCGTATCTAGCGTCCCAACAGCACTGCACCGTACCTTTGCAATCGGAACAAATCGTGCACTTGCCGACGAAATGCTTGAGGGCCATACGAACTGCATAATCCTCCCCATCTCGAGCCACCTGATCGGGGCCCGACGGCGGGGGGGCCGCTCCATACCACCCCGCCAGGGGTCGGCGCTCATGATCCTAGACTGCCGCTCCCCAACCAGCAACTCGAAAAGACGGAAACGGCCCATCCACCCCTGAGCCATCACCAAACACATGGCCACCGTTGAGCGCCAGGGGCGGCGCCTGCCTCTCAGCCTTGAACTCCCGCACCAGGTTCCACCCAGGGCGGGAGAAGACTTGGCAGGGGTCAGGAAGGGTCCCTCTGGAAAAGCGCTCCTGCAAATGGTCGGGCCCAGCCTGCAAGCGTCTTACCGAGGAGACAAGATCCTGTGGGATGAAATCCCTCCTCCAAGATTGCCGGGCTGGGCACTCGAAATGACGATGGAACAAATTGCCTTTGGCCTCACCACATATGGGACATTGCACTGCGCTGGCAACTGGGGGTCTTGCTTGGCACCAACGCGAGCCAATGACTGGGCCACGGAGAACTCGTTGCTCCCGAATCCCCCACCGCCCGTCAGTCCCCCCACCTTCGTCATCGAGCGAGGCCTTCCACCTACGATGCAACAGCTCATTGAGGGGTCGCCAAAAAAATCGCCTGTTCATTCCTTGCCTTGGTCTATCTTGGCCAAAGCCTTCGCGGTCACAGAGACGCCTGGCCGCAAACTGCGCTCGCCTAGCCACCATCGCTGGAGACACATGGCGAAGGTCCCAAATCTCTCCCGTGGCCTCCCGCAGGGTCCACGGGTCCTCAAAAACAAGCCCAACTCGGGCACGCGCGAGGAGGAGGGCCGCGATTGGGTCTCGCACGCTGGCCCATGGCCGAGGCAGCAGGAGCAATTCCTGGCCGCGGGCGAAAAGAGACTGCAGCACCACAGGCGCCAGGCGTTGATCACTGAGAATATGACTGTAGGTGCGGAGGGCGTCAGCCTTAATGATGACCAAAGGATCTCTGACCCAGCCTTCTCGAGCACACATGGAGGCCAGCTCGAGGGGGCATCCTTTTCGGGAGCCCCCCTTCCGCCCTGAGCGCAGCCAGGCGGGCCCGCTTCAGCTTGCCTTTGGGGGTCCTTAAATGTTGGCCCCCCTGAGGGCCTTCGAAGTGATCCTAGCCCTAAAGATCGATCCACACGGAGCCCCTGCGTCTCGCAGCGAGAGGACTTTGGCAACTTTTTGCCGGGACTCGCAAAAGCACTCGGTGCTGACTCGCCGTCGAGCGCCGTCGGCGGCGTCGCCGCCTAGGTCCCTGTGGACCTGGGTTCTCACCGACGCAGGCAAGCTACACAAACTGACGACGTCATCTGCCAGCGCTGTCGAGGAAGCGAGCAGGCCTAGCTTGTTAACCGCAATGGGATGCCCCATGCGCTGCAGGTTGTAGGTCAACGATAAAAAAAGACGCTGCCAACTCGCGAATGATGACCTGCTTCCCTCCGACGGCATGAAGCGAGACGTCATCCATGACATTCTCAATGCACACCGTGGGGTTCCCTACCGCTGCCCTACGCAGGACACCCAGCAGAAGCAAACGAGCAAAAGTGGTGGCCCCAGAGCAACCAGCTATAACTGTGCCGGTAGGTTGGATCTCTCGACTGATCGCCTCTTGTCAGGCCATTCGCCGCGGGCCACGATACAGGCAACAGTACGCTCGCAGCAGCGCCAGCGGAAAGGAGCTGGCTTAAGCCGCCGCCAGCAACTCCTCCTCGTGCGAAATGTGTCCATAAAACTTGCGCAAATGAATGAAGAGCGTCGCCGTGTCTAGCCCTGGGATCGATCGCGCGTAGGCGTTCAGGGCGTTGTGGACCCAGGCACTCTTGTCAAAAGCCGTGCTGGAGCTGAGCCCGCAGATTTGTTTCATCTATCGACCGTTCCCAGGCCGCACACAGGCCGTGCCGGATACGGCTCCATACTCTAGCCCAGAGGGGAAGAAGCCCAATGGGCCTCACCCTTCCCGAAGGCTCGTCTAAAAACACCACTAAGACCATCCACCTCGGTCCCACCACAGGATTTCGCTCCCAACCCGTTAAAACTGCCGCAGCCAGCACCTGGTCCGCCGTGATGGGCGAGAGATCGTCTGGGACCGACCAGCCGCTGGGATGACCCTCCGAGGCTCTGTCCAAAGTGGGATCCAGTCTTGCAAAATACGGTCGAGTGCCGCCTGGCCAACGAGCGGCCGAAGGTCGTCCACAGCCTCTGTGACCTCGGCGCCTTCCTCTTCTGCAGCCCCGTTGGCGGTTGCAGCTGGGGTGCCAGAGGGTCGCCCAGAACAAACAGGCAAAAGAGGAGGAGCGGGGCCTTTTCGAGGAGGAAGAGGAGGAGGAGGAGGAGGAGGAGGAGGAGGAGGAGGAGGAGGAGGAGGAGGTGGAGGAGGAGGAGGAGGAGGAGGAGGAGGGAGGACGAGGACGAGGACGACAAGCGAGGAGGCGGAGGAGGAGGGGAGAAGCAGGAGGATGAGCTGGAGTGGAGCTGGTGCTGTGCTGGAGCTGGAACTGGAAGCTGGAGCTGGAGCTGGAGCTGGAGCTGGAGAAGAGGAGGGAGGAGGAGGAAGAGGAGGAGGAGGAGGAAAGAGGAGGGGGGAGGAGGAGGAGGAGGAGGAAGGAGGAGGAGGAGAAAGGAGGAGGAGGAGGGAGGACGACGGGGGAGGGACGAAAAGGAGGAGGAGGAGGAGGAGAAGGAGAGGAAGGAGGAGGAGGAGGAGGAGGAGGAGGAGGAGGAGGAGGAGGAGGAAGAGGAGGAGGAGAGGAGGAGGAGGACCGGGAGGAGGAGGAGGAGGAGGAGGAGGAGGAGGAGGAGGGAGGAGGGGAAGGAGGAGGGAGGAAGCTGGAGCTGGAGCTGAGGAGGATGGAGGAACGGGAGGAGGAGGAGGAGCGAGGAGGAGGAGGAGAGAGGAGGAAGAAGGAGGAGGAGGAGGAGGAGGAGGAGGAGGAGGAGGAGGAGGAGGAGGAGAGGAGCTGCAGCTGCAGCGCAGCTGCAGCTGCACAGGAGCTGGAGTTGAAAGAGGAGGAGAGGTGAGAGGAGGAGGAGGAGAGAGGAGGAGGAGTAGGAGGAGGAGGAGGAGGGGGAGAGCAGGAGGAAGAGGAGGAGGAGGAGGAGGAGGAGGAAAAGGAGGAAAAGGAGAAGGGAGGACGAGGAGGAGGAGGAGGAGGAGGAGGTCGAGGAGGAGGAGGAGGAGGAGGAGGCTCGCCAGCGCCGAAAGCCCCAGGCAGACGGCCCGCGCCCGCAGCGGCGGCGAGCGCCCTGCTCGCCGCCCTGCTCGCCGCCGCGCTGGCCGCGCCGACGGCGCGGGCTGGCGGCGCGCACGGCCTGCTGCTGCTGGCCGCCGCGGGCGAGTCCCTCGGCGGCCCTCCGGCAGCCCTCGGGCGGCCCGCGGCGGCCTTCGGCTTATGCTGTCCACATCGTACTTGAGGACCACATCCCACAAATAATTTCGAGCACCCAGACAGTGTCTACCCGACACGCAAGCGAAGTGTCGAACGAGCATCGCCTCCCGGGGCCCGACACATGCAAACCTTCAAGTTTCGGTACTTCCTTGGCGCTCGAAATTCTTTCTGGTGGTCAAAGCTAAAGTAGGTTGGAATATCATAACCCTCGGCAGCTGGCGGACATCGGCGGCCCTCGGAGTGTCCTGCTCCGAGTTGGTGCTCCTTTTGGGTCCCTCCGCTGCCGCCGCCTGCTGCTGCCAGACTGTTTCGCGACCTGCGGGGCAAAAGCCTCCTTGGCGGGCAGAGGTGGCGACGGCCCGGCGGTGCGGGCGGCGGCGGCCCTTGACCGGGTGGGTCGTGTCGGGCGGGCGAGACGTCAGGCCACGGGGCCCAATCTGGCCCCAGGGCCGTCAAAACACGGCTCGGGATGAAGAGCTGGCTCCCGGGGATTTGGCATCGCTCGGACGAGTGCATTTTTTCTCGGCGAGGACCATCGAGGAGCATGTTGGATCAACGTACAAAAAGCGCACGCACGAAACCGAAAAATGCGCACAGAGTGGACGACCGAGCGTTGGCGAGGGGAGGGGTCCAGATTTCCTGGGAGCCACGATAAGATCATCCAGCACAAAAGGACCCCGAACCCGAATAACATGAGGCCTCACTGAGGTCCCCGTCTTCGCACCAGGGATGATCAATCTGGGCGGTTTGGTCTGATACGTCTGCGGGAAAAGACCCCCTTATCCCTAATGCTTCCGGGTCGGGGGTGGACAGAACCCCCAACAGTGACACGTCGATTAGTGAATTGTCCGTTTTCGGTTCTCGAGAGGGCGCCGTGGCCGACATTTTCCAGGCTTGCGCCCGCCAGGTTTGGGCCTCAGGTCGTTTTCACTAAACCACGTTTTACTAGAGGGGGGTCTGTCCATCCCCGACCGGGGACCTCCTAACTGAGGTCCCCTCCCAAAGGGGTTCGAGTTCTCGGGGGGGGCAACCATCCAGAAGCACGACGTGGGACCTCTGGGAGGCGAGCCCCCCAAAAGGTCTCCCCGACCGTGGCCTCGCGGAGCGAGGGCCGCCCTGGCCCGCAGGAGGAGCGGCCGCGCGGGCGGAGGAAAAAAGGCGAGGGCGCGCCGGCGGGGCGAGCGCGAGCCCCAATGGCGGCAACGGGGGGAGCGGGCGCTGGTCAGCCGTCGGCGGCGAGCGAAAGAGGGGGCGGGGGGGGGGGGGGGGGAACTCTCGGGCTCGAGGCTCGAGGTGTCGGGCGGCCTCGTCGGTCCTCGGTGGCTCTCCAGCCTCGGGACTGCCTGCCCACAGCGGCGCCTCGCCGAGGGCGTTCCGGGTGTGTGCCCTGCTCGCCCCGCACGGCCGCCGGAGGCCCGAGTTAAGGGCCCCAGAACCAAAATTCGGCGGTGCGCCCTGGGGGGGAAGCATGAGGAGGAGGAGGAGGAGGAGGAAGAGGAGGAAGAGGAGGAGGAGGAGGAGGAGGAGGATGAGGAGGGGGAGGAGGAGGAGGAGGAGGAGGAGGAGGAGGAGAGAATCGGGAGAGGGCCTTCTCAGGAGGCGGCGGGGGAGGGTTTCAGGAAACCTCTCAGAGGGCCGCGGGGACTTCCGAGCCTTCCGAGGAGGCCCGCCCCGTCTCGCTTCCCCCCCCCCGGGGCGCGCCGCCGAAGCAGAGAGGAGGGGGCGACCTCGCGCGGGCGCTGGCGCGCAGGCTGCCCGCGCCAGGGTCGCGCAGGGAGCGCCCTGCTCTTCCCCGCGCGTGGCGTGCAGCGTTCTGTCTGCCTGCGCAGAAGCCTCTCTTGCGACGGCGCACCGTGCCATTGCGCGCAAGATCCTGCCGTTTCCTCGCCGCTCGTTCGGGGGCCTTTCCAGAGGTCTCTGGAGGTCCCCAGATGCCTTCTGGAGGCCGCGATGATTGGCGACCTCGTTTTTGCTCAACATCTGCCGACTACTACTCGCTGTTGGGTTTGGCAGACCCACTAGAAGTACCAGGGAGCCCCTCAGAACGAGGAGGCCCTAAGAGATGTCGAGAACGCCGTGCCCTTGTGCGCAACGTCCTTCCGTTCCTTCGTCTCTGGAGGCTTCCAACCGTCTGGACCCCTTGCCCAGGAACGATTCCTTATCCCGGGCCATTTTCTGATAGTCCCCAGTCTTAGCAGGGACCCCCGACGCCCAAGCTTTGCCCAACATATCCCGCCGTTATTGTGTTCGCATGCATGCAGACATACATACCTACATGCATACATGCATGCAGACATGCATAAATACAGACCTACATGCATACACAAGCATTCACGTATGCGTATACGTACATACATACATACATACATACATACATACATACATATACATAGATATATACATATACATATACATATACATATACATATACATATACATATACATATGTATGTATACATATATATACATACATGCATGCATGCATACATACATACACATGCATACAGGCTTACATGTCTATATATAAAAAAACTAGATGCATGCATGAATGCATATACGCAGATATGCAGCCATGCATAAATATATATATATATATATGTGTATACATACATTGCACACATATGAATATGTATGTATATGTATATGTGGACAGATCAGTATACAAATACATAGGCATATAGTATGCAAAGTAGACATAGATCCACATACCTGCATACATGCATGCATGCACAGATACATACAAACAGTCGGCGAAACATACATGCATACATGCATACGTGCATGCATGCATACATACATGCATACACATATGCACGTCTGGTTGTGCATACACACGTACATACAGACCTGCACACAAAGCTGCATACATGTATGTATGTATATATGTATATATATATATATGTATATATACATATATATATATATATATATTCATAGATCTACGTAAAATTACTCACAAATGCATTTCCATACACACATACCTGCATATACATGTACACGTACATATGCATCCGCATGTACATTTGCATAGACGTAAACGTACGCATAGCTATACATGGCTACGTAGACACATACAAATACATACAGATAGATGCATGCCTAGCTATTTGTATATACAGACATGTGCATAAGCATCTACATATACATACGCATATGTATATGCATACATACATACATAAACATACAGATATACACATACACATACACATGCACATACACATACATAGACATGCATGCATGCATACATACAGACCTACATACGGACGCACACACATACATACATACATACATACATACATACACACATACATACATACATGCATGCACGCATGCATGCATGTATGCATGTATGCGTGCATACATGAATATTGAAGTATACACATGTATGTGTGCATGATTGCATGTATGAGTGTATGTATGTATGTATGTATCTATATATGTGTATGCGTGTATGTGTGTAAGGGTCCATGTATGTTTGTGGATATATATATATATATATGTATATACTCACAAGTGGCGCATGCGTGCCCAGACTCCAGACTCATACAGGAAGAATTGCAGTACGTAAGCATCACAGAAAATGGACAAGAAGTTGAAAAAGCAGCCGGATCCGTGGAGGAGGAGGACCGCTGCGGCTCGTCGCCGCACAGCAGCGGACGCTTCCCGGCGCCGCCCAGCGGACGCAAGAAGTGGACGCGCTGCAGCTCGTCCGCCCCGGTTGGGACGGGCGCAGACGCAGCAGCTGACCCTCGAGCGGATGGCGCGGCGACTTTGCCCGGGCCCATAGCGCCCGCAGCGCCCGCCCCGCCGCAACGGCATCCAGCGCGTCGATGTCCACGGGCGACGGCTCCACAGCCCTGGGGGCTGGAAGCCCCCTGCCGCGCTGGGCGGCTTCTGCTAGGTGCGCGGCACCTTTCGGCGCGGCGGCGGCAGCGGGGGCCCCCGCCCGCGATGGAGAAGCGGAGGAAATGGGAGAGAAGGAGGGCCATGAGGATCTCCAGGGGGCTGTGGGGAAGGAGGTGCAGCAACGGAATCGCAGTCGAACGCTGGTGGGGTTGCCAGACTTTGCGACGTGTGTGGCGCAAGAGGGTGTTCTACGCCTGCTGGTTGCAGTTGGAAAAGAGCTCCGAAGCCAAGTGTTCGAGGATGTCTTGAGCGAAACTGTCGTTGTCAAGAGTATGAGGACAATTTTGAATACATCGGGCTGTCTACAATCATCGAAATCCATTGTGTGTTTGAGGGTTTGATGTGAAAAAATGTTGAAAACTAAGTGTGATTTTGGTGCGTGAAGTCGCGATCTGCGTGAGGGGCGCGACCGTTGTTCAAAAGATTGAGGATGTACCTAGCGAAACCGCAAAAAAATCGCGAACGGGACGGCTTCAATTAATCGGCTCTGAGCTCCACTCCCTTGGAGAGGTGGGCATGAGAATGGACGGCAGGTTCGCCTCCCGGCGCCCCAGAAACCATCGATGTCGGACGATCCGACGTTTCGGAAACGGCCGATTGTTCAAGGTTGAACGATCCCCGCGGTGTCAGGAACCAACGCTGGGGTCGACACGACACAAACTTGCCGTGTAAAACTGCATTTGTATGCAGGTGTATATATGTATACATGTTGTACACATATATATATATATACACAAATGTACAAAATGTGTATGTGTGTGTATAGATAGATTGATTGATTGATTGATTGATTGATAAATAGATAGATAGATAGATAGATAGATATATAGATAGATAGATAGATAGATAGGTAGGTAGATAGATAGATAGATAGATAGATAGATAGATATACGATCGGCGGCGAGCGAGGGGAGGA